CAATATGGCTATGGACAAAATTGACAATATGGCTATGGACAGAATTGACAATATGGCTATGGACAGAATTGGCAATATGGCTATGGACAGAATTGACAATATGGCTATGGACAGAATTGACAATACGGCTATGGACAGAATTGGCAATATGGCTATGGACAGCCTTGGCAATATGGCTATGGACAGAATTGACAATATGGCTATGGACAGAATTAACAATATGGCTATGGACAGAATTAACTTTCAAAAGAAATAAGTGGCATCCTTCATGACAAAGATTTATTGGCATATTCATGTAGGCATTCAAGGAAGGATTCCTGAAACTGTATTTGACACAAGATCTTAACCACATTGTAGCAGCAATGTGATTCTTGCCTCAACTGACACCAAAAATACACTACATGGTCATACCTGTTGTCCATTTGTCTGCCTGCCTCCTCAATTTGGTTTTGCTTTTCCCTGAGCTGTACTTTCAATTCATCATTGGTGGAAACTTCTGTTTGATAATGTTGCTGAACATCAGTTAACTGTCTTTGTACATCATTGATGACAGACTCCTTTTCTTGGATATGTGACTGATTCTAAACAGTAAATGAGTAGACAACAATTATACTACCATTTTGTGACATAATCAATATAGATTTAGTAATGATGGGAGGAACGTTTCATTTCAAAACAAATATTATAAATGACATCATCAATTATTTCAATTTTGAATTACTGGGGTAACACTCAATTTGAAGGTTTCACACAGCAACTCTGATCAAAATTATTAACAATTATTGCACATGGTCTTTGGAAATATGTGGAAATATTTTGAATTAAACCTACATGTAAATAGCGACAGTGCAAAAACACAAGTGACCAAGTACAATTATCTAAATGGTTTGGACATGAAATGGAAGAGACAAAACATGCATAGAATCTAGGCTACTATAGGAATGAGGTCACAAAACATGCATAGATTCTAGGCTACTATAGGAATGAGGTCACAAAACATGCATAGAATCTAGGCTACTATAGGCCTGAGGTCACAAAACATGCATAGATTCTAGGCTACTATAGGAATGAGGTCACAAAACATGCATAGATTCTAGGCTACTATAGGAATGAGGTCACAAAACATGCATAGATTCTAGGCTACTATAGGAATGAGGTCACAAAACATGCATAGATTCTAGGCTACTATAGGAATGAGGTCACAAAACATGCATAGATTCTAGGCTACTATAGGAATGAGGTCACAAAACATGCATAGATTCTAGGCTACTATAGGAATGAGGTCACAAAACATGCATAGATTCTAGGCTACCTTAAGATTGGAAGTGACAGAACAAACATAAATTCTAGACAACCTTGGGAATGAAAGTGATAAAACATGCATAGATTCTAGGCTACCTTAAGACTGGAAGTGACAGAGAATCATACCTTGTTAATCTGCAGTTGAAGTGCATTTATTTGTTGTTCTCTTTCATGTAACAAAGATTGTGTTGATTGTTTGGAGTCTCCTAACTGTTTATGTAGTTCATTAACAGATAACTCTTTCTCTGATACTAGTAACTTTAGCTATAATATAAAAAAAAATATCGTGGTGGGTCATTATACATCAAAATAATATGACTTTTGCAATATATTGGCCACTATCACATTTTGAACACAGAGAAAAACAAATTTACTAATAAAAGACAATTTAAATTTTTTAACATAATATAAAATAAATAGACAAAATTGCAAAATACAAATGAGATAATGTAACAAGTCATGACATAGTATTGTGCACAATTATATTGAACCAGATATTGATGTGGAAAACAAGTTTTTTTTAGGAAAGTGAATTTCATTCATTTATTTCTTAATCCTGATATTCAGTACTGAAGGAGAGGAAATACTTGATAATGATGAACAAGGTTTGTGATGGTGCTGAATGACTTGCCTTATCAATCTGTTCCTGGAGTTGAATTATTTGTTGTTTCTTATCTTCTACTTGGTCTTCTGCACTTTTCTTGTACATTCCAATCTCTTTCTCTAAAGTTTCTACACAAGAATCTTTTGCAGTCAACTCCTGTTTAACCTTTTTAAAAATAAAATATGCTATATGACTCCAGTCATTAATTATACAAGCATATCTATGTAACAGTTGTAATTCCAGAGTTTCTATGATATCCAATAAGATCACATACATTTATCGACAAATAATAATAAAGATTACACTACAGAATCTACGGTAAATCTGGACCTGCATGGTGCATACCGTACTAACATGTGGATGGTTACAATCCATAGACGTTCTGCAAAATTAATTCCAAGTTAATACAGTTTATACCTGACTGAGCTCCTGTTCCAGGGAAGTACAATGTTGGCTTTGACTTTGTAATTGAATTTGAATTTCATTTACACTGTCAGTAGATTCTAATAAAGACTTCTGTAGGCTGATAGACAAAAAAAGAAAAAGAACATTTGATCATTCATCGATACATGTCAACAAATAGAACACTAATTGTGATCATAACAAAGCATGCAATCTGATTAAATACCACACATCATTATAATACATGTACCGTGTTTTCTCTATTAGACACACATTTTTAATACAAGCACATGTAAACTAAAACTTGCATTTGTTGTATACTTAATAATTAAAATATTATTTTGATTATACATGTAGAAACACATCTGTGACTCACTAGTTTGTGAGGGCATGTGCTACTAACAAAGCAAACACAGTATGTCTTCTACGTTTGTTTAATATCAAAGGCAATACACGATCTACATGTACCGCGGTAAGTCTGGAAACATTATAAAAACAAATTCAACAAAGCACAATAAATAAAATTAAATTGATTGCTGAAAAATTCTATTGTGTTCAAAAATGACATGCACACTTTTGCAGTATGTAAATGTACGTGTTAAATCATTTCACCCTAAATAACTAGCATCAAATTGTCTATATTTACCTTTCAAATTCCTGCATCTTTGGAGCTTGTGATAAAGAATCATTGAGCTGTATTATGGATCCTTCAAGTCTGCAATGTTAATGCAGCAGAATTGAAAAGATTACACAGAATATAAATAGGTTTTACAACCAACCATTCTCCTAAATTTATAGAATTAAAATTACAGAAAACCAATTACCTCAAACTTTTAGGCAATTTGTTATAACTAGTTTGGCATATGGCAGTGTGTAGAACTGACTTACTCTTTGATTTTTTCCACCAATTGTACGTTTTCTTGAACTAGCTTTTCATGTTCTGCTTCTTTTCTTAGTGTTGTCTCATCCATCAATTGTTGCACGGATACCAGTTCCTTTTTGAGAACCAATACATCATCTGCACCGGGTCTGAACAAAAATATAATTTGAAGTCGGAAAGCTGCAGTTTTATAATTATCTTGTTTGCTTTCTATATATAGTGACTGAAGTAACTTTGATAAATAATAAAACAGCATGACTGCACATCCCTCTCTATTTTGCTAAACGATTCAGGCCTAAGTAATAAAAGCACTATCCTAGTTCCAATAGGTATATGTTATCAAATTCATAGTTAAAGAGCACCCTCTATAGATAACATTTACAAAGAAAGCATGACAGAAATAAGAAATCGAAGAAAATGATGAAAGTGGGGAAAAAAATTGAAAGACTTGCTTCGCTTTATTGGAAAAAAAATCACAGAGCAACTTGAAAACATTTTTAATCAACATGCACAATTGAAAAGCAAATGCTGCAAACACACATACGTACATAATGAACCGGAGACATACACACCGTAGATCCAGTTTCTGCATAGCAGAGATGCTTTAAATTTATTAATGCTTAACAGTAACATGGCTGCCATATTAAATTAAAAGGGAAGTCTGTTTTGTCCAAACAAAGACTAATTAGCTCAGGAATGAAATGATAAAGTACTAGTAACAGTATTTTGAAATTATTTTAAATTTGTTATTTTTATTGAAAAAGTCAATAGAATTGATTACCCCATACCTTTGCAATAATTCTGATTCCACATCCTTCACTCTGCTTTTGGCGGCATCCAGTTCCTCCTGCGTACCATCCAAAAGAAACTTATTAGTGAATATATTAAATACTCAAATGTTACGAACTGCAGTGTAAACCATTATGTATTGAATTCAAAAAACATTTTAGAAGTGCTGAACTTTTGAAATATCTGCTATGGAACATTCTAAATTTTTTGTTTGACATATGTGACTGATCAATTTTATTTACCGATAATTTTATGCATATAAAATACTGATTAGATCACCTGACTGGTTCTCATTATTTCATTTTTTTCATAAAAATATCAATTGATTAAAGGGTTCATGAGAAACAAATGCCCCAAATTTTCACAATACTTGCGGAAAAGATGGTGGATGAACCCTTTGATTGGGGAACATTATTTTTCCCCTAAGAATCTTTGGCTATACATGCTATTAATGTACAATAATATGACACTCGGTTAGACTATTTTTCCTAAATATCAAGTTGATTGATTATAACACTGATAAGAAACAAATGCATGAAATGTTTGTCAATTTTTGCCTAAAATTTAAGATTGTTTTGTTTTTTGGACCAAATAAGTCATGAAAAAGTACATGAGTTCTAGCACATGCCGTAAAAATTCAGATTCTCAGATAAAGGTCAAAAAGCTAAATTTAAAGCTTCTGGTTTAATTTCAATCCGATATGGTGCCAAATGAGTGAACCAGTAGAAAGTCATGTGCACCAGTTCACATTAACCTTTACTAACATAAAAAATTTGAGAATATTTCGTTCAGTGTTTTTTCTCAAACAAGCTAATGAAAAAAAGAGAAAGAAGAAGAAAATCAGAATGACAACGAAAGGGACCCAAGCCCTGCTGGCTTAGACCATTGATAATCCAACATAAAATTAGAGATTAAAGTCAGACAGACTAGTAAATTTCTTACTTTCAATTGTGCATATTTTTCTTCTGTTCCTGCTCTATGACCTTGGTCTTCATCAGACTGCGCTCTCAATCCAACAATTTCAGATGCCTGTGAGATAATAATTTAAGTTCTCATATTCGAAATATCAGAAACACAAACAAGTATATTGAAATTGCATTAGAAAGTTGTATACAGGGATCACAGGACAACACTGGGGTCAAAAGACACTGATTGGTGTAGATAGAAGATTGTAGAAAAGCTGGGGTTAAAACAATAAAAATATAGTTGTTCATATGATAATTTTAGGAATTATACATGACACATTATGCAAATGAGCAGCCTTCATGGTCTGGAGCTATGTTAGTACTATGTCTAACAATGTCAAGGCCCAAGTAATGTGCCTCTGCTAAGCTTAGTTTTTTTTTTTGAGTAACTAATTGACCAACAAATAAAAAAACAAAATAAGAGAAATCAAATGCAAAGTAAAATGCATCATTAACCAACCACTAAACAGAATTTAAAAATAGTCCACAAGCTTGTATATACGATGTATAGATACTCACAAGTTTTGCTGCTTTTTGCTCCATCATTTCTTTTTGTTGCTTAACAACCTCAAATTCATCCTTCACCTCAGTTAGCTGTTCTCTCAAATGTCTCACATCAGATGTTACTAGCAGGAAAAATCATTATCAGGTTACAGGATGATCACCACTGAATGTTAACACTTAAGATGCAAGGTGCACTGTTTTCTAGTAAAGTATATATCACTGAATGTTAACACTTAAGATGCAAGGTGTACTGTTTTCTAGTATAGTATACAGCACTGAATGTTGACACATAAGATGCAAGGTGTACTGTTTTCTAGTACAGTATACAGCACTGAATGTTGACACTTAAGATGCAAGGTGCACTGTTTTCTAGTACAGTACACAGCACTGAATGTTGACACATAAAATGCAAGGTGTACTGTTTTCTAGTACAGTATACAGCACTGAACGTTAACACTTAAGATGCAAGGTGCACTGTTTTCTAGTACAGTATACAGTACTGAATGTTAACACTTAAGATGCAAGGTGTACTGTTTTCTAGTACAGTATACAGCACTGAATGTTAACACTTAAGATGCAGAGTGTACTGTTTTCTAGTACAGTATACATCACTGAATGTTAACACCTAAGATGCAAGGTGTACTGTTTTCTAGTATAGTATACAGTACTGAATGTTAACACCTAAGATGCAAGGTGTACTGTTTTCTAGTATAGTATACAGCACTGAATGTTAACACTTAAGATGCAAGGTGTATTGTTTTCTAGTACAGTATACAGCACTGAATGTTAACACTTAAGATGCAGAGTGTACTGTTTTCTAGTACAGTATACATCACTGAATGTTAACACCTAAGATGCAAGGTGTACTGTTTTCTAGTATAGTATACAGTACTGAATGTTAACACCTAAGATGCAAGGTGTACTGTTTTCTAGTAAGTATACAGCACTGAATGTTAACACTTAAGATGCAAGGTGTACTTGTTTTCTAGTACAGTATACATCACTGAATGTTAACACTTAAGATGCAAGGTGTACTGTTTTCTAGTACAGTATACATACTGAATGTT